TTCATGACAACATTCAATCCCTTTCTTTTACTCCATAATTCTACGTAGTGGTTTCGTGTACATCTGTTCCTTCTGAACCTGTAGAGAAAGATGAATCCGCCTCAGAAGTTAAGTCACGAATTCAGTCACCAATAAAGCTCGTCATCAAAATGGGAGTACTAGCACACCAACGTGGGCCGTTCCAACAGGCTGCTCACCATCATGAGATGCAAGATCGTTGCGGATCTAGCGCAGAACTGGAAAATGATCGTGCACTACTCAATCCGTCTTAAAATCATTATTACTAAATCAAAATAGAACATGTATTTATTTCGATAAATTATGCATGAAATTAAAATTCAAACTCAGTACCTGGTTCTGCTTGAAATTTCTTGAGAAGATACACCCTATTTCAACCTTTTCTTCGTCGTTGCAATGAAGAACTACCTGATACGTCAAAGTGCACAGCATTTCAATGAACGGACATCACAAATCCCAAACAGCTTGTGGATGTGTAAAATGGCAAAAAGTAATGGCGACAAAACAAACAAAATAAGCAAGAATGTAGTTCTTTGTACATCAAAATAAACTGTTTGTGTACGTCCTGCGACACAATAGAATAATTTCTGTTCATAACTCACCGGGCAACATGCTGCTACGAGACTCGATTTGAGAACACAGGTGAGAAAACAAGTCAGCAACTTCAATCACGCTACCCAAACTCTCCTCGACTATTTTCAGAGGCTAAATAAACGCGTTAAGATAACGGAAACATGCAAATCATGCGCGTGCCTTTATGAAAACGGGGGAAAACTGTTTGTCGTGAGGAAGTTTCGCCTTCAAAAGGACCATTTCATTTTCTACGCCAGTCAGTGACTGCGTAAATTCGTCTAAACGTGCACGAACAGCATCAGCAACATCTCCATCCTAAAGTCGCCTGGCGATAAACAGCAAAACAAATCTGAGAAAGTAACCTTCAAGACAATATTCATGCGACGCACTTCCACGCCAATCCAATTCAATGCACAAGCAATCTGACGAATCACGCATTGAAATACCTGCATCGAATTGAACGTTTCAATTTCCAAATGCGAGTCGAAAAGCCTCTACAATCGATATAGAATATTACGAAGCAGAAAAAGAAAAAGAATACAAAAAATTAACAAACTCGCATAATAAATCTTCAGTATGACAGAATTATTTCAAATACAAATTGTTTATATATACCAAGTGTGCACTAATGGTCAATCCACTTTTTGAACTGTTGTGGGTGGGACATGGCGCAATGGATTAATAGGTTGCCTTGCATGTTAGAGCCATTTGAGCAAGGAATTCACCTAACTGAGCATAGATGGGACCAGTCGGAAACGGGTAGGAAGTCAATCACCTGCAAATAATAGGTATGGTGCTTTGGTACGGCCACTGCAATTCGCTTGGAGAAACCTGATACTTCACAATAGGAGTAAAACGTAAATTATAAACTTCAATGAAATTAAATAAAACTGCAATGCTCTTTACACGAATTGCAACGTGCTTCGACGTTTTTAGAAATTAAACTATATTTAGAGTT